TGTTTCTTTGCTTACTTTGTTATTTTTGTTGTTGTTGAAAATGACATTTTGAATAGTATAATATGATATCTCTGGAAATCACATTCTTCTCCTTTCTCAAAGTTGTTTCTTGCTGTGGACTGTGGCTTTTATTTGTTTATGGATTTTTAAAAGACTGTAAAGTCTGTATTTGTCATGTATGCTCTCTGAAGTCTCTGTTCCTTTAGACTGTGTTAAGCTAGTGTTTTGATGGTGATTTTCTTGAATGCCAGGAACCCCTCCAAAATTTTTTAAATAAAAATAAAGGAGGAAAATCAAGAAGAAGTTAAGATAAACATTTCCCAGTGTTTGCTAACTGTTAGCTAGGCCATTTGCAACCGATTCTTGGTCTTTACTCTCTTGTGCTGAGCCTAGAAATCAACCACAGGTCAAAGCTTAGGGTAGGGTATTGTCAGGTCTCAGAGCATGTGTCCTGCTGTGAGCATTCATTTGACTTTGTAAATTACATAATATATGTGGTCTTTTAAATGCCCTAATTTCCCAAGAAACTCGCTCTCCTGCTTTGTTCCCCAGGCTTTCAGTGCTTTATTGTTTGCGTCAACTATAATCTTTTGCCCCAGCTGACAGCAGCTTCTTCTTTTTGCTTACAATTTTTAAAAATTATCTATCTTATCTATCTTTCTTTCTCTATTTCTATTAATCTGATCTAATCTATCTATTTATTTATTTTAAAGGAATGGCTCCTTTTGCACCCTGAGTAAGTTCTGAGTTAAGCAAAAGATAAGTGCCTTGCATCAGTCCTTCAGGCAACTCTAGACAGGTCAAAACAAAAACATTTCTCTGAGAATAAGATCTGCTTTGCTCTCTCCAGAACTAGGGACCAGTGTGTCACACTGAGAACACAGGCTGCTGTTTTTGAGACCACCGCTGAACCAGGTTGGGAGATGGGGCAAGGGAAGGTAAAAGTGCTGTGAAGCTTTCCTGCTGTTTTAACATTACCTTTTTTTCATTTGTTTCAGTGTTTTCCTGTTTGCTATAACCCTTTGATTATTTTGAATCTGAAAAATCAGATTCTGACAATTTTTGCTTATTTTTTCAATATTTCTGTGAAGGGCCTGGCCCTTGGAGCGCCCTACTTTTTTCATTGATCTCAGTCTTGAAAGGGAGATATGTTTTGACTATGTTGAGTTTGTGGTGCCTATGGGAAGGCTCAGTATACACGTTTCATTGATAGATATAGGAGTTTGAATTTTTCTTAGGGGAGGAAATCTGAGCTGTAATAGGGGTTGAGATGTCTTCACCTTACTGTGAAAATACAAGGGTAGGTGAGGTCAGGGAGAATCCCAGGGAATGTCACCATAGGGGAGACTACACTGGAGGCAGAGAACTAATGGCCACAAAGTACAAGGAAAACTAGGAGAGTGTGGTAGAGTGAAAACTAAGAAGATAGAGTTGCAAAGAGAGGAAAATAATTTCCACTGTGAAGATGAAACTTTCCTAGTAAGATGAAACTGAAATAAGATGTCCTTATCATAAATTGTGTCAGTGGAATGATGACATTCGAATGAAAAGAGGGGAGGAATTAGAGTAATTAGAAAATGATGCAAAGTCAGAGATTTTTTTTTTCTTTTTTAAGTTGGCACAAGATTTGAATATATTAGGTTGGAGTGGTAGGAGGGTCTGTGGAGAGGAAAGAGTGGAGCAGGGTGTTAGAGGAGGGTAGAAGAAAAGAGTTAGGAGCACAGATGGAGTTGACTTTCATTAGATGGTGGACATTATGTTTTTTAAGTCGATTTATGTGAGGTATGAATTAGAATTTAGAGAAATTTATAATGGGAAATTGGAAAGCTGAAGGAAAGTGTATCACATGGATTCACTTTTTTGATGAAATAGGAGAGATTGTAGAGTAAAAGTTGGGCTGGGGTGATATACAGTTTGAGGGAAGTGATGAAGGCCTGGCATAGTTACTGAAGAGAGAATAAAAGTGTGAGCTGGCCAAGGTTAAGAAAAATAATTGATTATTGCGGGCTTAGCTGAGTTTGGAGGCTGATTCGGAAACAGGACAGGCATGACCACTTGTGATTTCTTCAAGAAGTTAGTGTAGATTACAACATTAGTATATGCTTGGGGACTTTTCTTGGCAGATGAGAGAAAAGGATAGGAGGAAAGTGGATTATAGGGCTCTGTTGTATGCATAGTTAGGATGTTCAACCATATAATCCATTGTGGATAGTAGTAAATAGGAGAAAATGGAGGGGTTTGAGGATTGGTTGACTCAATTAGATTGAGGAGCAGGTAGAGTGGGGGAAAGGGAGTGAAGGATCTGGCAGTGTTAGTGGCTGTGATCATAGAATAAGTCACTGGTATTTTACTTCAGAGGTTGAGAAGTTCCAGGTGATGAATGATAAAGTCCAGAATGTGGCCTTGGGAGTTGGTGAGTTAAAGTGAAATGGAGCTAAAGATTATTGATTTTAAAGAGGTCAGAGAACTGTAAGCCTAGAATGTTGGTTGAATTTCTCATATGTTCCCTGAAGTCAGCCTAATGGCATGACTTGGGATGGAGAGGAAGACTGAGCCTTGTGCCAACAATTTTAATGAATGTGGATAATTATTAATATTAGTTAATGAATAACAGTGGATGCAGCTTTGCCAAGTTAATTTTTCTTAGGTCATTAGTTGTTTCCTATGGTGAACAAACTATGGTCAGTTTATTTGGAAATAAACAGATATTAAGTTAGGAAAATGAAACCCATATAAGCACTGTTCATACCATTAATTTATTCAGCAAACATTTACTGAATGCTTTTTCTGGGCCTTGAAGTTGCTCATGGCCTAGGGGAGGAGATATACATTTAAATAGATAGTTGACATAGAATGCTAAGTGTTTTAGTATGTGAGTAGTGGTCTTATGTGGGATATATACCATAATTCATTGGAATGGGGAAGAAACTATCAAAACTATTTAAGCTTATCCATTTCATCATGTGTACTTTATTTTGTGTGTGTGTGGTTATATGTTATTTTATTTATTTATTTTAATTCCAGTATCTTTATAATTTTTTAATGCAAAAGATTTCAGACAATATAAAAAGTATACATAACATGCAAACATCCATGTACACAGCATGTAGTTTAAGAAACATTACAGAGGCAATTGAAAGCTTTCTGTGTATTCTTCCCTAATCTCATCCCTCTTTCTTTTTCTCCTTCTTCCCCACACTGAATTTGGCATTTATCATTTACATGATTTTTTTTGTTGCCTGTTTTGAACCTTATAAAATTGTTTCGTACTGTTCTTACTTTCTACAATTTGCTTTTTTCCCCACTTATTGTTGATTTTAAGAATTTTTGACATTGATACATTTTAGTTCAAGTTCATTCATTTTTCCTGCTGTATAGTTTTTCATTGAGGACTATTCTTAATTTTCTTGATGGTGAATGTTTAAGTTGCTCTAATTCTTTATATAATAAAGTGCTGTTATAAATATTCCTGTACGTATCTCTTTTGAGCTCAGCTATCAATTGCTGCATAACAAATCACCCCAAAACTTAGCAGTTTAAAACAGCAAATATTTATTATCTCATAGTTTCTCTGAGTTAAGCATCTGTGTACAACTTAACTGGGTGCCTCAGGGTTAGAGTGTCTCACGATATTACAATCAGGTGGCAGTGGGCCTGCAGTCATCTTGAAGCTCACCTGGGGGAGGATTCGCTTCTCTGCTCACTCATATGGCTATTGGCAAGCCTCAGGTCCTCACTGGCTGTTGGCCAGAGACATCAGTTCCTCCCTACATAGCATCTCCACAGGGCAGCTCACAATATGGCAGCTGGCTTCCCGCAGAGTGAATGAGCAAGTGATTGAGAGAGGGAACCCGTGGTGGAAGCCACAGTGTATTTGTAATCTAATCTTGGAATCTCATCACTTCTACCATATTCTGCTCAGTAGGAGTAAGTCCAGTCCACACTCAAGGGGAGGAAATTACATAAGGGTGTGAATAGCAGGAGGTAGGTTCTTTGGAGGCCTTTAAAGGCTGCCTACCACATTGGGTCATAGGATACACATCATCAGCTTTACTAGATGTTGGGCAAGCTCTTCCTAAGTTGGCTGTTCGAATGTATACTTTCCTAAACAATAAGACAAACTTTACTATGTTTAAAATAGGGATTGACATCTGCTGTTGTGTGTTAGAGGATTGTTTGTTACTTAGAGTATCTGGTACTGGGAAAGATCAGTGGCAGTTCCAGGTTTGTTTTTGTGTATTGCCTGTTTGTGTGCCTGGGTGGGAGTATGTGTATATTATGTTACCTAGATTTAACTAAATTAATGCTCATGAAATGGGCAAGTTATCTAAGAAGCATCTGTGAAGAAAAACATGGATTAAAATCAGAGGAATAATGCAAGTGTATGTTAATATGGTAGAACTGACACTTCTACCCTTACTGTAATCTCTTAGCTGTGCATGAGGGAAAAATAATATAATCTATAATGTTTGACAGAAAGTCAGCAAAAACAGAATCACAGTGATCATTTCTTTATAATTTAATTCTAATCTTTATAATTTTTATTTTTGTATTTTATAATTGACCACTGTTGCAACAATGGACCTTACCCTAATTGTATTTTTTCCAATTGTATTTTATATGTTAAAATATTAGCTAATAATAGTACATGAACATTGTACATGTAAATAAATATATGTATATTGGGGGTACATGGTCAAATTTATAGACTATCCTATTAGAATCCTAGAGGTATGAAAGAATACTGTGGGAGTAGGGAGGAGAGAGCACCTGACAGCATAAGGAAGTCAGGAAAGACTTCACAAAGGTGGTAGATTTTGAACTGGATCACAAAGGACAGATAGTCTAAAGGGCAGAAAAAGGATAACTACATTTTTGACAGAGGAAACAGCATTTACACTGGAATAGATCCTTCGGGGTGTGGCTTTTTGAAGAAAAATAACTTCCCTAGGTGGTTAGAAAGAGAACTGTGAGGGAGGTGAAGGAAGCGAGAATGGAGGGGTTAGAGGTGGTGGGGTTGGCAGCGCCACGTAGCTAGTGGAGATAGTTAAGTACGACATTGACATGATCTGCTAGAACTAAGGAGTCTTAGTTCTCTGATTGAAAACTGGGTATCTTGGCACTGCAGTACTACCCTTCAGGTCAAGACTTGAAAAGCCAACCTCAGCTTTCAACTCCCAGTGATAGGGGAAGCAGTGGTTTCCCATTGAGAACTTCAGACTATTGTTTTTGTTTTTCATAAACAAAATTGAGAGTAAGTAAATTTTATTATTATTCAAACAGCTTTATTGAGGTATAGTTAATTCACCTGAATAAGCTGCACCTATTTTAAAAAAAATATAGGGGCGCCTGGGTGGCTCAGTCGATTAAGCGGCTGCCTTCAGCTCAGGTCATGATCCTAGGGTTCTGGGATCGAGTTCTGCATTGGGCTCTCTGCTCAGCCTGCTTCTCCCTCTGCCCTTCTCCCCCGCTCGTGCTCTCTCTCTCTCTCTCTCAAAAATAAATAAATAAAACATTAAAAAAATCATATATATACATGTCTGAACTTAACAAATTGTAATTTTTTTAAAGATTTTATTTATTTATTTGACAGAAAGAGACATAGTGAGAGAGGGAACACAAGCAGGGGGAGTGGGAGAGGGAGAAGCAGGCTTCCTGCTGAACAGGGAGCCTGACGTGGGGCTTGATCCCAGGACCCTGGGATCATGACCTGAGCCGAAGGCAGACACTTAATGACTGAGCCACCCAGGTGCCCCAACAAATTGTAATTTTTAATCAAATTTTATATATATATATATATATATATATATATATATATATATATATATATATACCTGTGACTCCATCCCTGCAGTCAAGATAATGAAAACGTTCATCACCCCAAATGTTTCTTGGTGCCTTTTGGATGAATTTTTAAAAATTTAACACAATATATTAAAATCAGTATATATAAAATACAACAACTTTTTTAGGGGATTTCGTGATTGGTCACATTTTAAAATGCTTTCTATTATGAAGACTTAAAAACAATACACAACTAGAGAGAAGAGTATAACAGACTTCCATGTACCTTGTCACCCAACTTCAATGTGTAATAAGCATTTTTAATCTTATTATCCTTATTATCATAATGCTTATACTTTTTGCTTTTTTACAAATGTGCTTTCTTGCAAAAGCCTGATTATACGAATTCTTCATTTTACAAATGAGGAAATGAAAACCTGGAGAAATTGAGTTACTCAAAAAATTTTTTAAATTATGGAAATGTGGGAGTTGATGGGGAAGAAAAAACTGCTATGTTTGCTAGACCCTTACTACTCAAAAATGCTCTGGACTGGCAGTATGGTCATCACCTGGGAGCTTATTAGAATTGTACACTGTTTGCCCCACTCCAGACCTACTGAATCAGAAATTTTATTTTAATAAGATTTCCAGGTGATCATACACACATTAAAGTTTGATACACGATAGTAGGGCATATTGCCTCTTTGGGCAACAGTAAAACTTTAGAATTAAAAACCTTTCTAAAATCAAGGTTGGTGAAAGGGAAAAAAATGGAATCCTTGCTTTAGTTACTGCTTAGTTTATGTTACTGAATGATGCCCTATCGAGTACTATGAAAAGTTAATCTTTTAGCTTTCTCTGTGTCTCCAGTTTCAATTTATAACAACAACAACAAAAGAGATTCTGAGGTTAAAATAACAAGTACCCTAGACTATTATAATTATCTATTTATGCCTTTTGCCAGGATTATGTTTGGTCTATGAAGAGGAAGTAGAACCTCACAGCATTTTTTTTTTTTTTTTACAGACCCATAAGTTGATAAAACAAAGCAAAGCCCAGAATCTCTTTTATCCCCCGCTTCATTCCAAAGATTGCAAAGTTGGGCAACCAGAAGGCAGAATTAAACACTGTTCATTGTGTATACCAAGGGAGGACCTCATGTTGTGTTCAATCTAGCTGGCTAGGAAACCCTTCCATTAGCTTTTTCCTAATGTTTGCACTGAATGAGCCATTACATTTTGAAGGCAACACTGACTGAATTCAGTATTGATGCACTCACTCACCAACTTTTCTGCCTCTGGCAGAACAGTCTCTTTCTAATGGTAGTGTACAAACAGCAGTCACTGGCTTCATCCTCACTCTAAAGGAAGCCCGGTAATGTTGCTTCTATTGCTATATCCTTTATATGTACGGCCCCATTATAATTCTGTTCTTTGTGCCCACGCTCCAGAAACATTTTCTGGATAATTGCTACTCGTTAATGGAAACCCTTCCGGTATGGTCCCAGGTAAAAATTTGTGCAGGATTTAAATATGTTCTGAGGTGTACTGTGTTGTAGTAAGATATTAATGTCTTAACAAAGAGGGAATATTAATGTTCTTTTGATTTGTAATGTTTTCACATATAGCACCTAGCCGTTGTAGCTGCATACCTTTCCAGAGAATTGGTTGGCAGCTGAAAAAATATTTAGATTCAGAATTTAGTAAAAGAGGTTTTACCAGTCCCTTTTACTGCTATTGTATTTTTCCTGATGAAAGCATATGCTCTAGGTTAAGCAGTAAAATAAATGCTTCCAATTTTACTAAATCCATGGGTCCTTAGAGCCCGGTATGTACTCTGTCAAACAGTCATATACAACATATAAACTGCAGGGATTCCAATGGTGCCTTATTGGATCTAAAGAAACCAATATGTCTCATCCCATAGTATATTAATGGAGGGCTTTACCCAGTGAGATTATTCCACTGGCATTGACACTGTGAGACTGTGGACCATTAATAACAATACAATTTCCATTTTAATGCTAATGGAAACTCTTAAAAATAAATTTTTAAAAATGTAAAATAAATCTTTAATATGTAAAGTGTCAAAGCAATTTAAAAAATGATTTGCTGAAGTGCTGTCACTTTAAGCATTGTATTTGAACTTACGATATGAGAAATATAAAAACATGGTGGTTGTACATATAGCTAACAGTTGTTGAAAATTTACATCTTCACTATTTTTAACCTTTTTCAGTATAATAGACTAAGAGTCCTCTTGCATATTCTGGATTGTCTACTTAATTTCAGCCTTGACTCTTAAGCTGTAAAGTCTAGCTTGTGCTTTTGTAATGTTCTACATGTCTGTTTTCTTTTATTTGTGGTTATACAATTAGTAATATGTAGTGAAAATATGGTTACTATGGGAATAGTTCAAATTAAAATTAGAAACTGGACTTGGCATGTATTCAATTCACTGCCTAGGGTTAAAGTCCAGAGCCACAGATAGTGGATCTTCACCTTTCTCTCCTGGTATTTTAGCTTTACTGATGATTTGAAACCATAGCAGTTAATATGCTTTAGCCTTTGCTTTTACAGATGAGAAATGGATCTTATACTTATATCACCAGGTTTCAAAACTATTTACACTAAGTGGGATGGTTTACTACCTCAGGGGTAGTGCATTAAGCCTATTGCTCTTGAGAATCCATTTTCATCTCTTCTCACCAATTGATGGGACAGATATGACAAGCCTTTAAAGTTGAGTGGAAATTTTCTGTGGGGCGGGCTGTTGTATTAAATTGTTCCTTACCACCACCATGGATGTTGTAAAGACTTGTGAGTGGGTAGCCTATGGCTAAGAAAAGAGATATATTGTCTGCAGTAGGGAGGCTGTAAGGTCTAATATATAGGGAATAGTTTTCTTCCTATCTCCTCACTATTTCCTTCTCCTTTAAATCATAACTCGAGTCCATCCACTTCAAAGAGGTTTTCTTGATTAACCAACACCAGAAAGTGTTAGTCAAGTTCTTAATTGTGTGTAATACTATGAGAGGCCATGTTTGAAGAGAAACTGTATAGTCATTAGACATATAATTCCTAATTTGTATCAGTATATTCTTATATTTAGGTTTACCATATTTAAAAGTTCAGGTTTCATGTGTTTATGTTGACTATTATTTTCAAGGAACACGGATTACCTAATTAATATGGTAACTTTCCCCCAATAATTCTTAGTTGAAAACACACTGTTGCCATTATGCTAATGACCATTAGTTTGTCTCTTTTTTCTGTTCATTTTCTTAATCAATAGAATTATAACTTAGTGACTTAAGAAAAATGTTATAAGATGTTAATATATAATGTCAAAAGAAAAGACACATAAAATAAGCTTTGACATTAACCACTATATTAGAAAGCCTTGGTTCTATTTTAAGGGCTTACTTAGAATAAAAAGTGGAGTTTCAAAATGTGGCAGAAGTTTCCAGTAACACTTAAATTACTAATCAATAAATATTTTTTAATGAGGGCTCCTTCTACCTGCTGGAATTAGTTATATGCTCTAAATAACACAATAAAGAGACAAGAATTCTCTCTGCCTCAGCCTTTCTCTTATTGAACTTACTTTAGTTTTCAAAATGTCCTCCTCAATTAGAATTTTTTAACAGTTCATGGATTTGGTCTCTGAGTTACTTTACCTCTACCGAAGGTGAATTATTTAATTCTTAGAAAATCAGATCAACACACTTAACCATGTTTGTAAAGATCAGGAATTCTTAAGGAGAATTTAATAAACTTTCCTCTCTAGTTGTAGTTATGATCACAAGCAAAACATTAACATGACAACAGCAACAATTTTTTTTTTCTCAAATCAAGAAATACTCTATGCATCCAGGCACGAGGTGACTTTTATTTATCACAGACTCTGAGAGAAATAGCAACTGATTTTACTTGTGTTGCTCCTACTGCTGATTCACAGATTTCTATGTGACTTTTCACAGTATATTTCTGGGGAACAAAGTTCATTGTAGTCTAAATGCAAACATGTTTCTGTATATTAAGCAAGTATTTTAATACGTTATTATTACTTGAGCTAATAACTAATAGTCATCTGTCAGTGAACTAAAAAGGTACAAAGTTCACAGTAATTCTTAGATAGCTTAGTAATTACCCAGACAGCTTGTTAGAAAAGCTGTTTAAATCTAGGATTATGAAATACACTGATGGCTATTTTACTCCCATGGAG